CGCGGGGGGGGGGGGTTATAAGACATGCATATTACGATAGTATAGAGGACAGAATAATTTCAAGGTGAAGGATAAAAATTAAAACTTAGTAAAAGAACACTCGCCAAACAAACTTTCAATGTGTTTTTTTCCATTCCTCCATCATTAATTTTTTAAAATCAAAGTAGTCCATATCTGAGAGAGGATCGAATTGTTTAATAAACTTTCCATCATTGTCAATATAATCGAAGTATTCATAATTGCTAGTTTCAGCAGTACCATATTGGTATGCTTGAATGGTAATACATGATTTATTGCTTGATCTATTCTCTAGTTTATGTATTTGATTCAACCCAGGTGAAAGCCAAGTAACTTGACCTTCAAAGATTTCTGTTTCGTGAATGGGTTTCGTCTTTTTCAAGTTCAATGTTCGATAAAGTTTTACATTGATGTTACCATACAATACTCGAATAATACCGTAAGTATTGGCATGAGAATGAATAGGACTGTAATGACCAGATGGCCAGATTTCCAGAACATATGGAACACCTGGCGAAGTACCTCGGTTTTTCCCAACAGTAATTCTCAAATAAGTGGCTAAAGGAGTCGGTTTTCCGAATCGATTGGCTTTTTCGGTTAATCTTTTCCGACACCAACCTGTCTCACTTTTAATACTATGTTCGATGGCTTCGTATAAATGAGGAAACTCATCATCTTGAAATTCCCACTTGATAACATCGTTATAGAGTTCCCGACAATTCTCATTCAATCTTTGAATCGATATAGCTGTATGATGTTGCACACTATCTATAGAGGAGTCTTCTGGCGAAACGACAAGTAATGCTGGATCGGAGACAACTGGCTTATTGCCAATTTTCAGTCTAACATCTTTTTCAAATCTTTTCAATTCAGCTACATTACGACTTTTGTTAAAAGAGATATGAGCATATTGAATTTTTCTTAAAAAATCTTTTTCATCTTCCGGAAAATCACTTCTGATTAATGTACATCGATCTCGAGCTTCACCTTGGCCGTACTTGACGAATCGATTAGCATAATCAATACTCAACCAATATTTGCCTAGATTTCAGAAAAAAACGATAGCACTGTATGAATTTTGATTGAAGTTTTAACAATTTACCATCTCCATCATGCAAAATGAAATCTTCATCTGTCGTCGAATTGATAGTAGTAATAACGCCGTGCTTAGTTTTGTAGATAGTGGCACTGTATTTATTGATAGAGAAATGAATAGCATAGGTTTTATTTGTTGAATCTTCACTGATCGACATATGCAGTTCAAATGGTAATGATGTGCTTTGATCCATTTCAAGAGTCACTTGCCCTCGTTGATTGAGAAACTGAGTACAATCACCTTTCCAAGGACACCAAATTTTATTTGGAACTTCAGAATCATCGGCCATTTGATTGGATAGATTAGCTACAAAAAAACATGCTTACGGTATCATTTCAGATGGAAAAACATCCTATTGCTATTGTTTTTTTATATTACTAAGCCTATATAGATGATAATTGAGTGTTCTCATATCATTACGCTATGTACAACGAATTGGAAAATGTCATGTATTCATTACTGACATCAAATCCTTAGGTATTGTTGTGGTAAAAATATAAAATAGTATGCATATACCTTTTGCAAACTTTACTATTAAATAAAAAAAAAAGATTCTAACACTTTTTTATATTCTGAATATAACTCTGATTTTTAGTCGATGAGACACTACAGTGAAAGTCAATGTGTGAAGTTTTCCCCCCTCAATATACTTGAATTTCGTCGCTCTTTCCACATTGCTGCAATCAAATCAGCCTGTTGTTTGATTGATTTTGCGTGTAATTCGACGATTTCCATTTTACTATGACAATTCTTTGATGATAAACTACAAGAAAAGAAATTCTATTGTGGAATATTCTAATAAAAACATAGGAACTATTACGAATTCATGGCATCCTTTGGATCTCTCGTCGATTCTAAAATTTATTGATCGAAACAACACATAGTTCGATTATTTAGCATATTTAGATAGTTGCTCACCATCAATTGAGTTTGATGGTATTGATGTTGCATCAATAAATATATCTCCAGCATTTTTAGCTAACGAAACAAATGAAAGTTGATCCATAGAGCCATCAAAATGGGTTTGATGTGTACGAGAAATGTTTGAGGTGCCAATAGTTGCCATACAATTTGTGCCTGGATAGCTTTTGGATATTTTTTTTGTTGCATCTTGTTTGCCATTGAGATAAATTGAAAGTTCAAGAGCAACTGAGTCAAAAACGAATGCTACATGATACCAATTGTTCACTTTAAGAGCAGTATTGCCTGTCAAATTTTCTTCATAATAATTCATGTAGAGTGCGGCATTCCGAATTCCTAAATGTAAACAATTTTCAGGCGATGGCTTTGAGCACTGAGCCAAAATAGCATTGTCGTAGCCTGATAATTTTGTCGGATGAATCCAACTTTCAACAGTGAATGATGAATCACTTAATTTGAAGATTGATTGAGTCACTAATACTGATTGTTTCAAAGATGATTGAAAATGAATAGCAGTTGTGCTTGCTGGTGATGGAACATAAGTTGGATTGTTTGCCTGAATACCATTGTAAACATTATAAGCATCATGCGTATTCAAATCAAATGGCCAGAGAATATTTATGAATGCGTTTGAAGCTGAAACTAAACCAAAATTTTATGACATTGGTATGGAATAGATGACTTGATATTCTAGGTCTTTATGCTTTTAGTTGAATAAAAAGAACATATGACAATCATTTTGAGATAATTATTTTATGTTGGTCGACTCGTAAATAGTGTTATTGACGCATGCCAACCGTTCTTGTCAATCAAGAACAGAAACTCTCTTATCGATGTGCAATTTTCTCAATGACAACGACAACAACAAAACTTGTAATAAAGTCAATGGGATAACTGTATATTGATTCTTTTTTTGCTGACTTCATTAAATTAAGTATACTCCTCTATTATTAACTCTATGATATTACAAAAACTGAACGAAAATGTTCTGAAGTTTTACTAATTTAAAAATGGCAAACCTGAATCGACTAAACGAATATTTCCACAGGCAATGCGAGCACCTGCGTGCCTAAAAAAACAAAAATGAATTTATCTTAATAATAATATGATTGCCTTTCTTAACCCTGTCGTGTGACTATCACTATGGAAGCCAAGGCCGAGATCATCTTCATCTTGGTGAATAACAATGGATTTATTCAAAATTGAGCTTTTTGTTAAATTATGTAATTGAATGATAGAATCTTCAAAATCGATTTCTATATTACCCGCAGAATCAGACCTGAGAAAATTGAAAGTAGTAAACATATACAACAAATAAGTAATTCAAATTCATTGAGAAAATATCTTACCAAATGTTTCCAAGATCGCCAACATGTCTGTGACCAATAGAATCGAATCTATTACCATGCTTTGTATCTACAGAATAATAAGAAAGCCCGAAGAAAGGAACAGAATAAATAAGTACCGTATGGATTCCAGTGAGCACCAGCACCAGCACAATTCCATTCATTGTCGGGCAAACTAAGCATATGCACGTGAAATCCATGATATTTTGTGTTCGGTGTTAAATTCTTTAATGTTCCAGTAACACGAACAGGCGCCAAAGGTATATCTTTCTGAATAAATGTTATGGTGCCAATAGAAACGGAACTTGAATCAATATGTAAATTAGCTTTAGCAACCCATACGTTCATCGAATAGTGAGAAGAACCTTCAACAAAAAATATCACAGAGTTTTGAACTGATTATCCACTATTTCTTACCTTTGATGAGTAGAGTAGCGGTGAGCAGTAAAAAATTGAATGTAATCATTATAATCTGAAAAACAAAACTGTATTAAGTCAACTGGATATTTGCGTTAGTTTTATCAAGTAGCAAATACAACAATCAATGCCTATAGTAGACTGATGGCAAGATGTTTTTGTGTGTGTATGTATTAATACCAGGCATAGGCTCTTATCGTTGCTATATCTAGATGATTGACAATAACACCATTATTCAATACAAGAACTAAAGTTTTGTCATTCCATTCAAATGAGTTGGCACAAACTGTTGGTTTCTTTGCTTTTAGTCTATCATGATAAGAAAAATAAAATGATTGACACTTGGCATTTGTTCGAATGAAAGAAAACACAAGAGAGTTAATATATAGAAAAATCATCAAGACAAGACTGGAACGACAAAAATCAATTTTCTTTTCATACATCCTTCTTTTCAAATTCTTTTCCCGCTATTTTCTTAATTGAAAATCGTATTTGAACAGATAAAAGTTGATCATATTCAAGATTATTGTCAGAAGACTGTTATTACATAGTAGGTTGGCCATAGAAAGGCCTAAAGGAAAAATGTCGAATGGGAAAGATATCGAAAGAAAAATATCGAAAGGGAAAAATGTCGAAAACAGAAAAGATAGAAAAAAGCGACGTCTCTACAAAATGAAGGTTCTAATAGTTTATTGTTTATTGTTGTTAATCTGATTATTCCATTGGTTTGACACTGTTAACCATTGATACTATTGATAAGTAATATCTTATGAAAACTAGCCAAAATAGGCGAAAAATAGTATACAACGATTAAAATTCTATCATGATGACTACAGCTTGCTTATTTTTATCTGGTGAGAATCATCCGCCAACTCCAGTTATTTCATTTATTCAGTCGCAAAAAGGAAAACATTTCCTCGTATCAGATAAATATATTTTCAAACTGAACAAAACAACAACAACTAGTAAATATTGGATATGTGTATTTTTCTTTAAAACTCTTATTTATCTATGATCTATGCTATGATGCTATTATGATTTCAAGAATAAAAACATCTTAGTGCAAATTTTCGATATTTTTCCCTTTCGGTCTTTCTACGGCACACCACATAGTACGTATACAGTAAAACTTCCCTTGGATGGGCATCCACGGGGCTTTTTAAAATCGCTCATCTTACGGAGGTGCCCGCGTTATAGAGTTATTTTTAATATATACTGATTACTAATGTTTTCACAAGCAACATAATAGACAGCATCGACACTTATATATACAATTAGCATTTATATCTTGAATAGTGTCCAATATTTTAGTACAATTTATTTGGTTAGTTTTTTTTATTTAACTTTATTTTCTATCATCATATTTACAGTCAAGCTTTTCGAAAGATTTCTGTAATTGAACTTTGCCAGGTAGTTTTTGATTCGATGTAGGCATCATTAAGTTTTGATTTCAGATTAGTGACGAATTGATGAAGTTCCGGTTGGCGAGTAGACGCAAGTAGGTGGAGCTTTCGAACCATTTCAAGTGCATCAACGAGCGAAGGAGGCTGGGTGTGGGTGTGGGTGTAAGGCGTGATTTCATAAAAGAAGTGCACTCACACCCTTTTTTTTATCAAGAAGATTCTATTAGGTATTCAATTCTTTAAACAATGCTGAAATTGATGTTGCTGATATCTTGTTACTACTTTACAAAAATTTCTCTCATACTGCATTGTCCAGAGAATTGACTTGTTTGATCAGATATGTACAAAAAAGAACGTTTTCAGTTGCAATCATCAAAATTTATTAGCTTAAAAAAAAATAGACTTAAAGACAAAAATATTTTAGACGTATTTTTTTTTGTTTTCACTATTTTGGCCTACATTGTAGAATATCCAAGCAAATAAATTTTATCATAATGAACTTTTTCTAGTCGATTCAAGAAAACGTAAAAATTGTCCAACATCTTTGACACAAAAATTGGGTAATAAATCTCGTTCGATCGCATGTTTTTCAGCTTGTTGTTTAAGTGTATTCAAATATTTTTCGCTTGTTGCTCCACTAAATACAAGTAAGGTTGTTGCACCTTGTCGATTGCCAAAAGCAATATCAGTTTCAACTCTAAAATTAAATGATAAATACAATAGTACATATATATATATCCTCATAGAAAATTTACCGATCACCAATCATTACTGTTCGTTTTGGATCAACATCTGGAAATGCTAAACGTATGGCATCGAACATGGGTGCATGTGGTTTACCAAGTATTGTAGGCGAACGACATGAAGCTGTTACAATAGAAGACAAGATTGAACCAGCACCTAAAAATTGACTTAACATATCTATCAGATATTATTTGCGCATAATAATTACCGGGCATGACTGTTTCATCACTTTGTGGAAGACTTGCATCATCATTAGTAGCTAAGAAGAGAACATTTGGTCGATTGAGATAAGTTGCTGCTTTGAGAATTTTAATATAACTTATATGTAAGTCAAGAGCAGATATGACACAGTCAACCTTTACATTGAAAATTTTAGAAGAAAGTAGTAAAATATATTCAGCTTAATAATACACACGTCTTTATCAAATTCAAGTTGATTCGTATTGACTGCATTGACATCCGGAGCTAAAGGATCAGCCTAAATCACAACGAAAAAAAAACATAGAAGAACATCTTTTATCGTGATATTCATTTTTCAAACTTACACCAATACCACCACAAATAGTAATACCTTCTCGTTCTAATTCATGTTTCATCGATTGCATTCCAAGTACAAAACATTTTCCTGCAAATTTAATCGATTTTAAATATTGAGCAGTCAACCAAGCCGTACAAATGATTTGTTCCTAATCCAAGAAATAAATTCTTTATTCAATATTACTTTTACAATTCATTTTACAGGTTTAGCGTTATATCCGATATCATTAAACCGTTTTGCATAATCATCTTGTGTTTTAGTTGAATTATTTGTTACAAAAAATAATCGTTTACCCTTAAAAAAAACAATCGTTTTTACAAAACAAAATCAACTTTCTAAATAAACTATTTTTCTACCTGTGCTGTCAAATAATTTAACAATTCAATTGCACCGGTAAAGATCTGTGGAAAATTCCATAGAACACCGTCACAGTCAAATAAAAATGTATCATTGTCATTCAACAATGATTTTGAATGAAGTTCTGTTAGATGTGTACAAAATTCTTCTGTTGACATCTAGAATATCATGGAATACACTAAATTTGCGCGCTGGTTAGTCTTTGAAAAATTTTTATTATTTTATCTTTTAAATTAGACTTTGGACTAGTTTCTCTTTTATTGACCGTTGTGAAATGAAAGTTTTATCTTGTTATAAAACATAATAATGCTTACAATTGTTAGCAGAGAGAATTTTATTATGATTATTATAAAGTACAGTCATAAACGAATAATCGTGTATTATGGATTAAATTAACTACTGAAAAAAACATAGGACGGCTTATCTTATCTAATTAAATTTTTTGTCAATAAAATAATTTTCTATTTTTAAATATCTATTTTCATATACTAATATGAATATTTAGTCTTGAAAAAAAGAAAGAACGATCTTCCTGGCTATAAAATATATGATCACACTTAAAATATCTCAATTCTAATCATATACAGTGGTAGATTGTAAAATTGCTTTCTCATGCTCTTACACTAGAGTAAAATAAAAATACAGTACACTTCATTTTTTTTCCACTAACAATGGGTTGTATGAGTTCAAGCGCAGCATCAAGACCAGTAATACCGAGTTCGATTCCTGGTGATTTTACTGTTATAGCTCAGCAAGTGAAACAAACGTGGCCTGATGTGAAAAAAATTAATAAATTGGGAGAAAAGACGTTTGCTCAGTAAGTTATATTGAAATGAGAAAAAGTAACGAACAGATGTTTTATTTTCTCATTAGTTTATTATATAAATACCCTGAATTTAAACCACTCTATCATATTCCTGAAGCATACAAAACTGAAGCTGATTTATTGAATGCAAAAGAAATTCAAGAACCAAGTGAACGTTTTATTTCGTTCTATGGGGAGATAATTCAACATAGTAATACAAAATTTAATGAAGTAGTAAGAGAAAAAGCAGTCGAACTTTATGCAAGAAATATTCGTACAAATCAAATTAAAGTAGATTTAAAACAAAAATTCCGAAGTAGATGTAAAATTTTTCTTGTCATTTTTAGGTTTACGGCGAAAGTCTTGTTCATGTTATTCAATATGAACTTAACATCGATTTAACGGTCGAAGAAAAACAAGCTTGGCAATTATTTAGTAGTGAAGTATCACGTTGTTTAGCTGTTGAAATGTCGAAATTTCCTAGAAGATCAATAGTTTAACGATCTTCATTCTATTGATTCAGAGACAATCCAAAATAATTTATCAATAATAAAAGAAATAGATAGGTTAAGAAAATTAATTTAATCTTGTTTTTTTTTTATATTAAAATATTCTTAGAAGAAAAGGAAAAGATCAAAAAGATCAATAGTATGTGTGATTTAATATGTAATTGATCGGTCTTATCTGACATAGGCAGTTGATTAAATTTATATAAATGTTTGCAAATATTATGTACAGATGCACGAAGATTTGATTGTTGTATGTTTTGTACAGGATAGAAGTTGGGTTGCGAAGGACATTGAAAGTTATCCTAAGAACAAAGAAAAAAACTTTTTTTCATTAATACAAAATTATCAAAACAAACCAAAGAGCCACAAATAATTTGACAATCAGGACAAATTATTGTTCCAGCATAAACTGAATCGTGTTCGGCAGATAAAATAGTTACATTTTGGCCTCGATATTCGCAAAGATATTTGTCTTTACCAATATTAATATAGAATCCTTTTGATGAAATACACTCGAACTTAAAGAAAACGTCATGAATGATGATACGTGATCACTTCAATTCAAATACATACATGATAACATCCAGCAGCTTGTGGAGCTATATAACGTTTTCTACGGCATTGATCAATATATTGTTCCCATATGGAACCATGATCGAAACACTTTGAGCCAGAGGAAAATTTTTCCAAAGCATAATTTTCTCGACCTAGAAGAAAAAATATTTGTATGAGAAAAAAAAATGAATACTTGTTTTTTTCTAATATACTTGATGGTTGATTTTCTGATCGATAACATCGCGAATCACGGTTAGTGTTTTTATATGTTAATTCTTGATTATATGGACAATAGTCAGCTAACATAACATGTCCACCGAAACGTGCAATTTCATTTTGATCGGTAATGTTTGGAAGAGAATCAAAAATCTAGTAATAAAGATTTAAAACAACACAATGTGTGAACAACTCGAAAGGTCTCTTATGAAATTAAAAGCTGTTCTCTGACGTATTACAACGACTCAATCTTATTGGATAGATGAAACGGAATGTTGCTTTTTTCTATTTTGATAAATACATATTTTTCATACTTGATACTCAGCAGGTATTGGATCAGCATATTCGACAAGATTGCACATTACGACTTTATCATGTGTATAGGCACATGTACGCTTTGAGTGATTAGGCTTTGGTGATGAAATGCAAAATGGATAAGGATTTTCTTTTCTGTAAAAAAAAAGCAAAAATCGTGATTTCCTTTATAGAATTTGAGCTATGTACTTTTCGAGCTTTGAATCAATCCATTCTTTACAACTTGTTTTAACAAAATCACAGCCAAGATTACGTCCCCATAGAAGAGGCTTACCAAAAGCATACGATACATCGTACCATCTATTGTAATCAAATCAAAATTGAATATTATCAAAATAAACCATTAAACTCTTACCCGCTATCTTCTAATAAAGCTAATGTTAAATTTGATATCACGGATTCTTGAGTATAAGTTCCAGTCATTATTTCATGCTAATATAATTGTCATATGAAACTTATGAATCATATTCTTATGCATAAACTTACTTCAAACAATCGTTTTTCCCAATGAGTTAAAGCTGTACCTACACTTCCTTGGTTTTCGAGTTCAGCCCCTTCTAATGTTGGACAACCAAAATGTTCACGTACAATTGCCTGAAATATAAATTGAGTCATTGTTTATGATTGACTATCATCTAGAATTTACCTTCACTTTTGGTGTGACCAACATAGTGGTAATCTTATCAATAGTTCCACTACGAGTCTTCCAGTTTTTTCTTACTACTTGCTGAAGCACTTTATCACTGGGTGTATATACTTGTAATCTAATGACAAGAATTCACTTTTATGACACGATGAATGTAAATATAAAATTTTACTTTTCATCATAAATTTTAGGCCATCTTGTTGCCGGATCACGTTCAGTAAACGGATCCCCATTGCTGTCTCGAAAGAACGCAAAAAGACCAGAAGAAAATACCTAGAAAATTTCAAAATTCATGCATCTATTAATGAAAAATACAAATGTAAAGTTCGTATTACCAATGTATGAAGAATTTCATGTTTTATTGTACTAACAAGACGATCAAAGTCTATTGAATTATGGTCGCCTCTTAAACGTCTTGGACAAACATTGATATTACCAGCAATTGGTCTAAAAATGAAATTGAGTAGTTTTAAGATAGCAGCAGCTTCCAAGATTCGATAAAATTTATCACATGACCTATCAAGGTTCTATTTACCTATCTTGATCAGATTCTAATTGGCAAAAAGATGCCGTAGCCAATGTATCCACAGGTTCACATCGATTTGTTTCTATTGCCGATACATATAGAATAAATTCGGCATCAACACCACCACCTTTACTACCGATTCGTTCACATTTTTTATCTTTAGTACAGACATGGCATTGATGCAAATGTTCATCAGGCACAATAATATCACCACATCGAGTTTCACTTAAACATTTTTCCGAACAATAATATATAGAATAATCATTTTCAACAATAAACATTTTTCGTGATGGACATTGTCTATTCACATCAACGCAAAAGAAAAAGATAATTAACACTTTTTTTTAAAAATTATTCTCATACCTTGCTAATCGTATTCGATCGTGTAACTTATATTTAGGTCGAATAGCATTACTCCAATAACCAGTCGCTGCGTCGACTGCTTCTTTAATTAAATTTTGTTCATCTTTCGATAATCTATATTAATAACAGAAGAAAAAAACCAACAAACATGAGTTCTAACGACAAAAATATAGTAACAACGCTTACTTTGTAACACTTGCATCATAATGAATAAGAATATGAAACATATCTGACGTTGTCCATCGTTTAGCACGATGATGTGTTCTATTAGATACTGTTCTTACAAAACTATATTGCAATTGATGACGATCGGGAGAAATATGTACCGAAGCAAAACACTCGTGAATAATGACTAGTAAAAAAAATAAGAAGCGACATGACATAATCGATGTCTACTTCGAATATGAAAACAAAATCTATAAGAAAAACAAAATAGATTAGATAATGCGATGTGAAATAAAAAGGTGCGCCCCTCTCCTTGTCGCGTCCGTATGGTTTGATATATGATAAAAATCTGATAATCAACTGATTCCTAATTAGATTTTTCTCAAGGACTAACTACAAGGCTTTTGAAGAAATCGAACCCCCAGCACATAGAATAATAGAGTCTCTTTGTGATTAAAAAGAGCATATGTATATCGAGTTTCATATTTCAATAATAACACATACACACAGGTTTTGTTAAACACACCATTTTAATTTTTTTCTGCAAAATTGTTGTTCCATCGCCTAACCTTAAAAAACGAATATCAGCGCGATTATCATTTTTAACAAGTTTATTTGTTTGACGTATAGCGATTGTTTCAATGGATGTATCATTTTCATTTAATAAACGTTCATTCCATAGAGTATTATCGATCGCAATCAAACCATTTGAATGTATTAATTGAAGAGATAAATCATAATATTGAAGATAATTTGCTTTATCGTCATTGATAAATATAAAATCAAATGAATGTGGGCCAAATCTTTCAGAGTTTCTAAAGCTGGTTGAATTTGTAAAATAATTTTATTTCAAACACCAACTTTACTCCATATATCTTGACGAACATATTGGTCGTTGATATCACAAGGTATTAATTCACCATCACATGGAAGTGCCAAAGCAACAGCTAACGATGTATAACCAGTAAATGTTCCTATTTCTACTAGAAAGAAAACAATTAGCTATGTATCGAATATCAATGATGGATGAATCAGATTCTTAAGAATTTTCATAAAATGATTGTTTTCATTTAATCGCATGTATAAAAAAATTCTTTTGATAATATACTAGTGAATGAATGTAGTATGCCAATACAACATTCCAAAGATTATACACTCGATTGAAAGAAAATACCACAGGGTTTGTTGAATTAGGTACGTCTTCAGATCAACGACATCTCCATTGTATTGGTCCTAAGCACGAGAGGAAAGAAAAAAATATTATTGGTTCATTCGCTTACGTCAATGAAAAATTAATTGATAAGAGAATGAGAGAGGGAGTACTCTTGTAAATAAATGTGAGTAATTATTTCAAAGTACTTTAATTTAAATAGATATCTCAAGATCTTTATCGAAAACATTAAGCACTTCAAGAAAACGGCAAGTAAAGTTGCAAGGACAAAAATACATCCGTCTAGGTTCACATCATACTA